TTGTATGAGCTCTTAGGTTTTCTGTTTTAGCTAACCCTATACAGGCTTGGGAATCTTCATGCACTGTATAAGGCAATGACACTTTTCATTGATTGTAATGGCTAATATATATCTGCTGGTGAATGTTATTTCATGTACTTCCCATGTTATGGGGGCTTGGTATGTCCTAATGATGGCTGGATGGCCCTCTTTGCATTTTTCATAGCATTTCTTTGGTGTTGCTAATACCATATAATGGTTAGAAATAGTTTAATAAAAATCTTTCTTTAGAGGGGTCAAAGCAGGGCATGCATGCAGTAAGAAAGGTGTTCTGCAAACAAGCCAAGATCAGTTAAAAGTGTTTCTACAAGGGGAGAGACAAACCAACACAAGCATCTAAACAGGCTCTAGGGGCAGTTCAGAAGTCCAGCATGGTGCCAGGAGTATAGCTAGGTTTGTCCAGGCTAAGCATAAATTTTTGCTCTGGTGTCATTCACACATTCCTCTAAATCAGCCTTCCTTAATTGTTGACCCTGAAGGAATCCTTGAAATAATGTTCATGTCTCAGGGAATCCCTGCATAAAAATTATTACGTCGACAGCTCACAGTATGCTAGCATGATCAATAAATTGTAGGGATAATAATCCAATAATCATTGTCAATGCTCTTTCAAGCAGAGAGGAATATTTTTTGTGCATCTGTTTATTTTGGCCCAATTTTGTTTAGCTTTTCTCCCCCACAAAGGATATCAACTCTCATTCAAATCAGTGGCGTAGGGAGAAGAAACTTCCTTTTTTCCTTTAAAAAAAAATAATCCAACTTGACTTATTTTTTACCTTATCCAAATAGGCCTAAAAGTCTTTTCACAAATTTCTACTCTACAAGATGCTGATGAGGAATGGTATATGCAAAAGTAGTTTTGCATACGAAGCACTGGCATTGCACAGTGCGCAAAGTTCAAAAAACAATGCTTATTTTTCTCAGTCACAATCTTCCCCCAAACCACTAATGCCATCTTATGGAACCCTAGTTGAGAGAGGCTGCCCTAAATCATAATACAGCATTTAGTTTTGACAGGCTCCAGATTTTTGTAGTTTAATATGGTAGTTGTGGATAAAAGTTCCTCATCCTTTTTAATATGAAATGATTGATTATGAGGCATGGTATGAAAGGATCTGCTACTTTATATTTTTAGGTCAAGTGAGGCTACATTGGAGCGCAATTATTAGTTTCAGGAAGTGACCTGAACAGAGAAGTCATCAAAGAGAGAGGCCACTTATGTCCTAGAAATGTCATTTGAATAGGACATTTCTGACACACCTTCAGTAGCAAACAGTAGGCAACACCCAGTAAAAATGGAACAATTCTTGCAGTTTGGATATGGGAAAGTTCTAATAGTTCTAAAAGTTCTAAATGGGTAATTATCTCATGTGAAACACTCAAGCCTTGAATGTCCTTAAACTGATTGCATCCCGTCTTGGACAGAGGAAGGAAATGCCAATCAACCACATTAAAAGATAGCCAGGGCTCAAAATAGGATGACTTTTTTGCAGCTTTTGAGGGTGGGGAGGGAGAAAGAGAACTATTCATTCATTCATTCATTCATTCATTCATTCATTTCCAGAAGCCAAGGATCACAAATAGGGAAACGGTGATGTAATGATGTTGTTGGAGAAAATGGAGATTTTTGGCCTGATTAAAAATATATAATAATTAATTGTGTGTTAAGCCTATTATAAAGTTAACACATTTTATTTGGTAACTTTCCCACCAGATTACTAGAAAATCCTGTGCTACGATTTGCCATTTTATCATTTTGACAAATTTGGGGGAATTTGGCTGTATGGTATCCTCAGTTTGTTTGCCACCTATCCTTGTTTTATCTCTAAGTGCTAGTGATAGTTGACTTGTCAACTCCTGATGACTGTTAATAATTAGGCAGGACCAAGTGCAATTAATCTTGGTTGGAGGCATTGTTCAAGATGTGTTGGATGACACACTCAGAATTCCCAGCTAGCACAGGAACTGGAAACACCAAGGAAATCAGCCATTCCTGGTGGCTATACACCTGGCGGTGAGGCTGGAGAGAGAAACCAAGGAATGACTGATCACCAGGCAGAGAACAAGTGAATAAATCATTAATTAGGGGTTTTTTTTACTCATATCAATATTTTCATTCACTGGACTTTCACATGAAGCACCTGAAATATTTCCTTGTTCTGACTAACATAGTGTATTTAACATTTACTAAGAGAGCTACACAATACCTAGACTGAGGAAATTGTTTACTGTGGCACACAGTTCAGTGAGGATGGGCTTGCCAGTGGATTTAATTTATGGCTTAGTCATCAAACTGACCCACCTTTTTCTTCTTATGCTCTTGTTCTCTGAGTATCATGCCCCATTCAGCAGTAATCTCCAGGAAGTGAAGGTACTTGTGGGGCACCCTCCCTGACAGTCTGAACTGAGGCTACTGAACAGCAAGAACAGAAGAACAGGTAGAACTCTGGAGGGCTGGATAAATGTCGGTAGATGCTGGGGTGATAGTCCCACCGGTTTCAGTGGGACACCCTCAGCTTTATTCAGAAGACAAATGACACAAATAGACACGTGTGTCGGCAAGTCACCGGTGGAACTGCTTTGCTGAACAGTACTTTATTTGCAGAGTGAAAGCCTTCCCCTATCTGCTTGGTGGACTGAGGGAGATGGGAGAAATGTGACAGTTCCCAGCTTTCCTTCCAGCCAGCCAGTGTTGCTTTGCCTACCGCTTGAACGGCTGCAGGTGAGGACATATATCTGCATGCTACGAACCTATTCACCTGTTGCTTTCTGTCATGCTGCTGTTAGAATGCCAACTCAGGTGCTGCCAAAGATCTGTGCTAGAGATCTGAACAGGTCTGACACCTGAGTAGCGGGAGTAGAAAGGACCTGATTCGGGGTCTTTAACTGTTGCTTGAAAAATGTTATTGCCTACTAATGCCTGCCTTTCAAGAGGTATAAAAATATTTCTAAAAAATTAAAACACAAAAAAGCAAAACGGAAAGAGCACGTGTTTTTAATAGTGCAGAGCATTTCACTAAAGGCTAAAAAAAAGGCTAACCAGATTTGTCTTGATCTGCAGTGTGTGTATGAGTGTTATGTACATGTGTATGAGTGCATGAGTGTTACGCACCCTTCCTTCCCCCACAAAAAACAGGGCCAGACCAATTCTTAAGAAAAAAAGGAGATTGTTTTTAAAAGTATGATTAAATAATACACGTACTTCTCTCTCTCTCTCTCTCTCTCTTTTCCTAATTTGTTAGGAAAATAAAATAATCTTTTTTTTTTTTAACTAAATCCGTCACTGTTTTAAGATTCCTGAAAAGCTGGTGCACATCATTCATTGTCTTTGTTTCTTCGTAACGGTATTCCTTGGTTGAGTTTAGACAGAGCAGGATCGGCACCCTGGGGCCTCAATTCCACATTCAGCCCTTAGGCTGATATCATGGGATCCTCATGATACCCAAATACCATGGGATTTGACATTTGGCATAATGTCAAATCTCCAGGCTATAAATCATTTCCAAACATTTGGCATGCCAATCTAACTTTTCTCTGCAGTGTGCCTTAGAGAGAAATGGTGATCAGAAAGAGAAGAAAGGATGTATCAGGAACAGAATGGAGGGTCTTCACCCAATTTTGGCTCCAGATTTTTGTATAATATGCTTCATCCCTGCTCATTTTGTAGTCTGGGTGAATTACTCATCAGAGAATGAAGTTCTCAGCAGAAAAAAGGCTGCCACCTTGATGTAGCATAAGAGGCAACTTTAGAAGTTCAAGAGGCATCTTTATTCGGTATTGTTTTCATCCACTGTACAACTTCAGCATTATTCTGCTAAAAGCAACCTAGCTTCTCTCCTTAAAAAGGTGTTTAAACTAAAATTATTTAGCTACCTGAATGCAAAGGAATGTAACTAACTGAGAAGTTAACTTAGTTCTAGCAATGAATTCTGGAATTCTGTTTTGATCTTCGTGCTGAAGTGAGTGAAAAGTCTACGTTGTCAGGTCTGCCCAAATGTTGTGAAGCTATACATTTCAAGGATTGGAAGCCTCTCCTTGAAATCCATAGTTATATATAATTTTCACTAAAACTTTAGACATAGTGATTGTAGAATAATCATTCCAGTATGGTATCCTGCCAGTGTGTTTCAATTATAAATCCCAGTATTTGCACTGGTTATGATGGTTGGGAATTTTGGATGTAGTGGTCTCAACACATCTGGATGTCACCTGTCGTAATTATTTCATGCAGTGCCAAGGTTTCCCTTATGTTGACATTAACACACCCATATTTCATCATTTGAGCTACTGTCAAGAATGAACTCTTGCTTACTTTTGACTAGGATGTCCCAACTACCATGCTGGGAATGCAATGTTCATCCTGATCCTTCTATTCTGATGGTGGCCCAGAAGTGTTTTTAAAGTCCATCCTCTGAAATGGAAGCCAGTTATAATATTCTGGACATGATCTGGCCCTGAAACCAGCCTGTTTTGTCTGGGATACCACAGACTACAGAGGATTGCCTTTTGTAAAACCTCCTGATCACCCTTGGAATGGCCACATCTGAAGATCCAGTGGAGAATCAGAACATTCCAGAGTTCTCTGAAACTTTTATGTCCTAGTATGGTAGTTTTTGCTCATCTCCACTCTTAGTCCACCAGATTTGCCTTACATGTAACAGTAAAGTACTCTGATTTATACGATTTTAGCCTGGTTTGCATTTCTGCATTGTGGAGAAGTGAGATCGTGTTTTCCCATCTTGCCTTGCCAGTTTGGGTGGATGTCTGCATTTCAGCATTATATTTGTATTAATGTAACATTCAGTGGGCTTAGCCTTGACCAGCACAATTATTATTATTCATAATGATCGAAGTTCTCTGGACAGATTATAAAGTTACTTAAAGCATTAAGAATTTCTAAAAATGTTTCTAAAAGAAAAACATTAAAGGAGTACAATGCAATTAAAGGAGTACAGTACAATTAATAAATGGCAGGAAACATATGAAATCCACTTTTGCAATGCAGAGTGGGAACTTAAAATCAAATTCTCTATGAAGCTGTAGAGATGCCTGAGAGAAGAGAAATTCTTTACCCGGTGGCTCCCCAAAATAGCGGTCTCTGGAGGGTTTAGAGCTCTGGCAGACAAGGGAATAGCCATCCTGCTCAAACCACAGTTGGTGCCTTTGAAAGGACACTAAGTTCACATATTTTCTTTTCTAATCATTTTCTGAAATTGTTTGTCAACTGCCTTTCAGCTATTAAGAACCTTTGGATCAACAGGTTTTACAGCACTGGGTGCATTTCCTTCAATCCTTAGTGAAAGAGGTTTTAAATACAAGTTTAAGGACTTTAAAAATTTGGTGGTGGGGGGAAATAAACAGCAAAAGGGTGATTAAAACTTTGATAAGTTTGAAATAAGATTTTGGAATTAATTATAAGAATCCTCCCCGTGGGAAAATGTTTTTATTTTAAAGATAAGACTTTAAAAATTAGACACTAGAAGGAACTGAAGATTTCAATTAAAGGAGAAGAACACTTAAATTCAACGTACAAATACATAAAGAAGCAAAATATTTTAATATTGGACATATTGAGGGATTCTTATGATGAATTCCAAAATCTTACTTCAAATCCTTCTGGACCTTAGTCCATTTGTAACTTTCCAAAATCAAAGTTCTAATCACTCTTTTGCTGTTTATTCCAAAAGATTTTTTAAAGTCCTTAAGCTTGTATTTAAAACTTCTGTCCCTGTGGATTGAAGGAAACTCACCCTTCTTGTGATGAAGGGGAAAGTGATGGAAGAAGTCATTTCTTTATATATATTTTTATTTTTATTTTTTTACATTTCTTCATATATTTTTTCTTTTCTATATTCTTATTTTTTTCTTTCTTTTCTATTTTCCTTTCTATATTTTCTCTTCTCTGCACTTTCTATTTTTGCTGTTTCTTTTTTTTTTAGTTTGTATTAGTTTTTATTGCTGCAATTGTCATTTTTAATAAAATGACTATTAAAAAAAAAACTTCCCGTTCCCAAGCGGGAACAGGGCATGAAGCTCACAGAACCAGAGTTTGCACTGTTACACCCCAGCCTCTATTGCTGAGCGCGATGGGGCCTCCACTTCTGCAGATGATCATGCCATGGCTGGGAACCACTGAAATGATATACCCACATGTAGGAATCCATGGATGAAGAGTAAATGCTCCCAAAGAGAGGAAACTCCCACTCCTTGGGGATGATGCAGAGAAGAGAGATGACAATTATATTTTGATTGCCTTGCCTGGTTTCTGCTAGCGCCAGGGTATATTTTCCATATGTAGCTTACTCAAAATAGTTGTTTTGAGTTACAAATAGGCTGCTTTTACATTTTCCTCTTCCATCTTGTTTTGCTTCAGATGCAGCCTAAAGAAAAACAGTTCTGAAAAAAAACCCAACTTATTCTCAGTTTTGTGATATCAGAATAACTTCACCCTATCTTTTTGCCCTTGCTTGTGGACCAAGAGGATTACCAATGATATCGTATTGTTAAACTTGTATTTAAATCCTTTAAATCCTTGAATTCAAAACATTTTGAATTAAAAAAACATTTAGCTTGAAACAAGTGCTTAAAGCTGTTCTGCAAGTGGCCTGAATTTGAAACAGTTCTATTTTGAACTTAAAAGGCCTGTTTTGTGGTTGAAATCTTTCCAGAATGGCCTCATTATTTCAATTTTGCCTAATCTTCTGTAAGCCATTTTCTGTACTATGGTGCATTTTCATTAATTATTTTAATCAACATCTGTATTTCTGTGCAGGATTTTCCTAATACATGTTCTCAGGGTGGGAGGATTGATAAATGGCATTGCAGAATTCACAGAGCTGTGAATGTGGCATATAAATTTTCAAATGCAAAATGAAATGAATTCATTGAAATGTCAACCAGGCAGCTTTCTCCCACATTCTAACTGCAACTCCCACCATCTTAAAGCATCTTATTATACTTCTGGAGGGCAATGCTTTGGAGAAATACTCTAGCCTTTATTTGTTCATTACATTTCAGCATCCTTGTTTAAACAAGGCATGGATTTCCAGTTATGGATTGCAGAACTGTGTTTGATTTTGTCCTCAGTTCTTTGATTACACACTTAACTCAATAACTTTATCAAAGGGAACTCTGAAGACGTCATAATGAAGCCGGACATCCCATGAAACACCTTACAGACCTCGTGTTGTGAAAAGATTACAATCAGCTCTCTGGGGAATAGAGAAAGGGAATGAAAGGGAAAGAAGAGAGAAGAAGAGAAGAGGGGAGGGGAGGGGAGGGGAGGGGAGAGAAGAGAAGAGAAGAGAAGAGAAGAGAAGAGAAGAGAAGAGAAGAGAAGAGAAGAGAAGTGAAACTCTTGTTGCCTTACCTCAGTGCAAGAAGTGCATGCTTTGGTTTGTGTTAAATAGCAAAGGAGCTACCTTGGGTGATCGTGTTTTCTGGTCTATTTTTCCATCACTCTGCATTAACTCAAGGTGCTCATCCTCTCCAGTCTCAAAAAAGCTCCATGGAAGCTCTTCCCTTGGGATATAATTGAAGCTTTGCATGCTGGAGAAACTAGAGTCCACTAGAGAGATGATTGTGCAGTGAGGACAAGGACATCCATCCTTGGTCACCTCATATCACCCTTTAGAATTTTACTGAATTTCTCATCTCATTTGAAAGGATTTTTTTTTAAAAATAAAGCTAAATGAGAATTAATAGGAAAAAATGCTGGAGAATTCTTTCTTTCTGCATGGCTCTAGGTTTTTTTTTTCTGTTTGTCTTTTTTTTTTTTAATGCAGTTTCAATTTTTTTTTCCAGCATATTTTGATAAGCCCTCCTAAATAACAGCTCCATTATGACTTTGTGGATATTTATTAATTAATTTGGTCCTGGAAAAGACTGTAACATCTCCAGAAACCATTGGGAAACATTCTTTTTAAAAAAATAAATAAATAAATACTACCTTACATCAAATTATTATATCAGACTAAGTGATTGAACAAAATAAAGAAAAGAAGGATTTAAATACAGGTTTAACAATACGATATAACGTTAAAATTAAAAGAGGAAAAAAGGGTGAGAAACTTAAAATATTATAAATAAACAAAAGAACAAAGCATTTGACCAAATTGCTTGAAAATCTTCCTTTCACCTTTCTTATTTGTGGAAAAATGACTAATTCAAATGGTGGCAAATGATACATATTAACTACCCATATCTGTTTTTCCAGTGCTGAATAATAACTCTTCAGGTAATCTCTTCTTCAAGAATTGTCCACAGTCCTTGGTGTTGTGATTGATTTCAAATATTTCTAGGTATCTGGCTCTTCCAGATGGGGGGCTACAATTCCCATCACTCAAAGTCAGCATACTCATGGGCCAGGGATAATGGGAGTTGCAGTAAAACATATCCAGAAGGGACAAGGTGGGGAACCCTAACCTCCTAAAAAAACCAGTGATCTCCAGTCCACAATTCTGTAAAGTCTTTTGTTTAACCTGAAGTAACCAGGAGAAAATCCATTCTGTTAGAGACAGGCATTCCAAGAACAGGGGAGCTGAACACAAATTAATTTTAAAATCCATTTCACTTCTTAGGTATGTATCTTTTGAAGGCAGAATTTGGCCATGTGGTTTTTTTCTCTGTTGGAGCAAAACAGTTCTAATGCTCCTCAGGCAAACTTACTTTCTTCCTCAGCCAATAGGATTATGACTAGACATCCATCTTTCTAAAATCTTTGTAGGTACATCGGTTTACGCATTCAAGAACTGGCCCATTGTTTTTTATTTCTGGATGAAACTGGAATAAGATTAACTGTATTTCACATATCTTTAAAGCAAAAGTGAGCAAATTACAGTCTTCAGCCTCATTTTTGCAGTCCTTGGACTACCCTCAACCCCCACCCAACCCTTGCAACCGGGCCACTGAAATTTGGAAAACCACTGATCTTGGATGGTGATGTTGCAAAAATAAGAGGTGTATCAACTTGAGCCTTAACACAGTGATTTCAGCTCCCAGACTCTCCTGTCCAAGGAGACATTAAGCAGGGCCATCAATATGTCACTGATCACATCCTTTAAAATGCAGCTGTCCTCTTAAGAAAAAGTTTAGATCTTCCAGACATGTTTCCAATTTTAATACAACTGCCATTAAACTAACACTAAAAGTCTGATATGTCTTTTCATGCAAATCTTAGTTTCTAGGGTGTGGTCCACACAGTCCAAAGAGATCATGGTTAAATTAGGCAAAGGCTGATCTAGTCCAGCATCCTGATTCCATAGTGGTTAATCAGATGCTAATGTGTGAATCCCATAAGTAGGATATGAAGGCAATCACCCTTTCCTATTGTATTCTCCAGCGACTGATAAAGAGAGAGAGGCATAACAATGGCATAAGAAAAAGAAAATTCACAAAGAAATAACTCAATATCCCCTTTCCATTTTTTGTTTATTAGTTTTAATGGAAATTGAAACAGAAATATTTTGATGGGAGATAAAAAACAGGGAAATGCTAGGCGAGGGCAATAAAACTTATGAAGAATTAGAAACAATAAACAATTAAGAAGCAACATTGATTTTTTTTTAATGTATATGAGGTCAGCATAAAATATTTTGCTGTCTGAGATGGCCCAGAGTATGTTTCTTTGCCAGGGTCATCTACAGTGTGTCTGTTAAAAAACTTCAGCTGTGAATTTACAATCAAAGTCCCCTTCTTACAGGCATTGCATAGGCCAGTGTTTCTCAACCTTGGCAACCTTAAGATTATGTGGACCTCAACTCCCAGAATTCCCCATGCTGGCTGGGGAATTCTGGGAGTTGAAGTCCACATAATCTTAAAGTTGCCAAGGTTGAGAAACACTGGCATAGGCCATATACATAAAATGGGGGCAGGGCTTCAATCACATGGCTGTGGCTGCCATCATGAATTTTTTAACCCTCCCACACACACACCCCATGCCACTCTGCCCCTCATCTCAAGATGTTTAGTAATATTCAAATTAATTTGTGTCATGGAGTGGTTAGGATGAAATCCACGATCAGCCATAAAGTTCACTGGAGGTCCTTAAGCCAATCTTCATTATAGCCTCATAGAAAGTAATGCATACTGCACATTGAGGAAGGTTAAGGTATCAGTTTAGTAAATAAAAATAATTTATGTAGTTGTTTACCAACCAGCAGTAAATGCCCATGTCATTCACACTGAAGAAACACGATCATGTTTCAAACACAACACATCTGAAGAACTTCCTCCCCACCCCGCTATATATTGCTTAATTCTACCACAGTTAATTTCTTTGTCTCTTCAAAGTAAGTTCTTTGATCTTTTTGCTTCAACAGGTCGACTAGTGTCCTTTCTGATACGCTTCTGTATATCTTTCATTGCACTGGAATAGAAGCATGCGAGCCACAGGTAAGCACAGAGGCTCTGATACCGAAAGATAAAAGGTTCAAAACTTTTGTTTCTGTTTCTCACAGCTGATCATTGCCATTCATCGTTCACTTTCTCAGAGTAAGTCCAAGATGTAACCCCCTTAGGCAAAGCAGATATTCCTGATTCTTTCAGACAAAAACTTTTCCCAGCATGAAGACTGACAGATGTTTCAGGCTAAACAAACACCATTCTCAAAACACAAGCAGGAATAGAGAGAAAGATTTGAACACACACAAATGTATGCATACAGTTCCAGTGCAGACTTCCCCATTGAAAGAAACAACATGGAAGGGATTTTAATCAGTCCATCACTGGACTGATGTCTCTTCATGCAAAGCTTTTTTTTTCTCCACCCCCGTGGAATCACACTTCCATCCTGACTCCTATATTCTGTAGTTGAGCAAGCCCCAGTCTTGGTTCTGTGGCAACTAAGGACATCAAGAAATAGAAATGTCTATTTCTCACTGGCTGTGCTAGAATGGATGCTCCTGTGGACAAAAGATTGCTTTGTGGCTCAAACAGTCCAAGAAGAGTTTATGTTTCCACAATAGGTAGATATAAATCCTTCTTTAAGCTGGCCACCATCTGACTGGGAGGAACAATCAGTCCCAACAGCTCCCTGCTTTTTCAACATTCCTCTTCGTAGCTGCCCATTCATTTGATGCAGTGACTACACAGAGACAGTTTCTGAGACCCCACCCAGAGTGTGGGAACTAACTAGTCCAGCAGTTGAGTATTCACTTGTAAAGATCTAGGACATTGCCCAACTTCAACACTCCTTTTCTTTTAGGGGTCAGCTAAAAGACCTTGGTGAGGAAGAAGCAGGCAGAGGATTTTTGCTGTTGAATTGTGCTCAGAAGAAGAGGAAGGCAGGATTTTCCCCATTCCTTTACCCACAGACCACTTTTTAGGGTGTTTATGCCACATTTGCTGTATTTATTTGTAGGATTCATCTATCTCGCCTTTCCTCCAAGAGTTAAGATGGCATGGTTAGCTTAACATTCTTCCCGTTTTCCCCATCATCATATTAATTAGATGGAGCTGTGTCAGTCTTGTGAGATAGTCCAGGCAGAAAGCACAACTAGATGCATTAATTCTACTTTATTGTAAGCTTACAGAATCTTGCAAGTCTGAAAGTACATTTCTCCCCCATTGCCTTTACAGTCCAAGAAACTAGGGAGGGTCCCTTTTGAGCCGCTTGCTACACCCACATTCCTGCTGTGGGCTAAGCTGCTTCTTATCCAACCATTGCCATGGCTGTGGCTCTTCCCCCATCTCCCAAGGTCATTCCCACATACCATTGCAGGTTGAGATTGAGTGACTGATCCAAAGGAACTGTGCCATGTTCTCACTAGCAGTCTTTGTTGTAGCCCAGCCCCTGATGATATACTGGCCGCTATTCTTTCTGGCTAAACACGTGTTCTGTCTGCCTGGACAGGCAGATTCGTATTTTGAATGCCTTGACTGGCAGATGAATAGAAAATGGAATTTCATGCCTTTCATCCCAACGTACATATGATTATTTGTTTGACTTCTAAACTGCCACACTCATGCAATTCTTGGTGGCATAAAAGATAAATTAAAATAGAAACATAAAACATGCATCTCCCAAAGTTGATACCACCTAGCATGGGAATTTCTCAACAATGGTCAAGGCTGGAACAATCAATGACATGCATTATCTCCCAGAGTAAATGACCTGTAGGATTCCAACATGGGTTGGCACAAAATTTATTCTGTAGAAACATTTCAAGGTTCAGAAACTGAAATAAAGCTTTACTACAGCCTAAAATAATTTTATCTGTCTCTGCTTCTCTTTATGAGCTTGCTTCACTCACTCAAGCATGCTGTGTTAAATATGGATCTAGTGAATGAACTGAAGGGTTCCATTCTTGGGGATTTTAATATTTTCCTTATGTTAAGGTTTTATTAGGCATATTTCCACTTTCAGAATTCTGTGGCCCCTTCTTCTCCTCTTCCTCCTTGCTATCTCTGTCTTTGTACAAGTTGGCTATGATAGTCCTTCCCAAAACAGGTAGATTGTTAGCTCGTCATTGTTAGTTTTCCAGGGTTTTGTGAGGAAGGCTTTCCAGTGCTATTCAGAGTTATAAAGGGCTGAAGTTATAAAGCCCTTGGCTGGATAAGAATCTGGAGCTTTACTCTGACCTACCATTGTCTTACCTACTTTCTCCATTCTGATGTCCTCTTTTTTCAGAGGACCGTTCCTTCTGCCATCTCATCATTCTTGTTTATTGGCTAATCCATGGATCACACTGAGTCATGAATGGCTGCATGACTTCTTGGTTTGGTTCATACACCATGCTAAGCCATAAGCCACAGTTTACAAATTACAAAGGCTAGGCTAAATCCAAATAAACCACAGTATGACTTAGCAGAATGTATGAATCTTGGCAGATGTTGAACAAACCATAAGCCATGGGTTGTTTTAACCATAGATTGTTGAATAAATCAGTGTCTGGATTCACATATGGCATGAAAATGAGGTGGCAAGTAAAAGAAAACACACTTTTCTACTTGAGGCTTTGGATTCCTGCTGCCAGTGAGAATAGACAACACTGTAGTACAAAAAGAGTTTCTGATATTCCTTAACTGAAAAAAAATGGATTCATCAATGGCATGCAAGTTATAAAAAGCCACGTTTTATTTGACAAGCCTGAGAGCTGATACTGTTGGCATTCAGTCTGCAGATCTAGGATTCGTTTTTATGAGTTTGTTCAAGAACACGCCCGGCTTTCTCAACTCATCGTGCATCTGAACCTGTCTTCCTTCTGGCCTAGGTGTACTGCGGATATTGGTGGCGCTCTTTACCATAGCTACAACCTGGCTTTTTGCCAGTACCTATTTCAGCCACACAGGCATGAAATCCATCAATGTGAAGAAATGGCTGAGTAAGTTATAATAAATTACAGTTCTTTCCTCCCAACTCCATCCCATCTTTTTCCACCTTCTTTTGCCCGCCAGGCTCTTCCAGCTTAGCAGATGAAACACCAGGAAAAGGGGAAAGGGTCTCCTGCTATTTCCCATCTTTTCAGTCTCAACTATTATCCTGGGAAGCATGCCAGTTAGATTTCCAGGTTGTAATCTGCATGACGTATTTGCCTTGTCTCCATATTGGCTACAAAGCAAAATACAGATCAAGCATTTCCCTTTCTGCTCTTCCCAGAGCTCTACCAGTTCCCCACCATCATGCATAAGGAAAGAGCTACTTGGGGAGAAATAAGGTGGTAGAACACATCCTTCTAAGGGACTGGTGGCTTCTTTCCTTCTCTCTGACATGAAACAAAAGAAGAGGACATAACCTACAGAAGGAAGCTATGATCCTTTCTCTGCAACAGTCATGGGAAGTCTCTGTCCCATAGAAGGGACAGAGGGATAAATTTAGCCCAAGATAATTCCTCAAACTGTTTCACAGGCCCAACTTCTTTTCTCTCCATCAACCCTTTCTTAACACTTGGGAGAAAAGAAGAGCTTGTATCTGATTTGCTGCAGAGAAATTTGCCTTTGATTCGATAGCCAGGAATATTCTGTAGGATGACCTCAAGAACACTATTATGGACAGACAGGTACTTTATTTGATGCATAAATGATACATTCATTCCTCTCTGAGACTCATGTTTAACAACCATGGGTGCTCTCTGGGGTGATAAATATACAGCAAGGTGTGGCCCCTTCCCTGTTTAATCTGTTCATTAATTCCTGAATTAATCACGGACTGAATCCGTGAATAACAGTCATGCCCCCAAATCTGCAGGCTGCAAGATCTCAATATTATTGTACCTAGATAATGCAGTCCTTATTTCTTGTTCTCCACAGGACTCAAAAAAGCAATGAATGCTCAGGTGGGAGACACGTATTTTCCACCAGCCTCACAAGGAACCTGGTAGCCCCTTTTCTGACTTAACTGCATTAGATGAAGTGAGCCGGAGCTCACAAAACCTTATGGCTTTTAATAAAATTTGTCAGTCAGAAAAGGGCTACCGGACTCTTGATTTTTTGCCACCATAGAGTAAGACAAATGTCCTCCTACAATTTCCCCAGCCTCATGTTCTTCCAATGCTGGAGTAGGAAAAGTCAAGTCCTCCTTCCATGTTTAAAATGTGACTGGGAATGAACATTCCCCATTCCTCTCTCTAAGAAAAATTGGGAAATGATTGTCTTCTGTCTCTTTCTGTAAATAGAAAAAGACTTCCTTCCTGCAGAAGGAGACTAGAAATGATTATATTAGCTTCCATCAGAGCAGAGGAAGATTAGGTAGAGGGTGGTTGGAAATGAGTGTCAACATTTCCTTCACTGAGCATTTATCCCTGACATTATTTGGCCTGATGGAGGTATTGTAGACCCTTGGACCAGATTTTGTTTCTGGCTTCTGCTAGAGTGCAGTGCAGAGATAGTGTTTCAGATTCACATTCTTCTTGTTCCTCCAAGCTGACTTTCCTGTTTTATATTGTACTGATGATCCTGTTTCATACTGATTAAACTGCTTTGATATTTTCTTTTAATGGGAACCAGTATAGAAAAGTTTTGAATAAATAAATCATCTGAATTTATGTCTGAATTTGGCAAATATTTGCAAGAGTTAGCCCTGAGAGTCTCTGGATTGTGGCAGGGTAGAAATGTGGAAAATAAATAAATAAATAAATAAATAAATAAATAAATAAATAAATAAATAAATACTGTCTGCTCATGCTATCTCAGGGCTAAAGGTAGTGGGGGTGTAAGCTCTTTTTTCCATGCCAATTCAATCCCCCACTTCCTAGTCTCCACCCACTCAGACCCTTGCATGTTAAGGAGGAAGATCTGAAGAGGTTCCACTTGTGAATATCATTAGAAGTTTTCACCAAATGGAGAAGCTTCCTTTAATAACTTTCTCTAGTACATATTGGTTCTACTCAAGATCAAACAAGCACAAATAGAAGACTCTTTGGGGATTTTTTACTCAATCTAGGAAGATAAAGCACAGAGGGAATTTTGAGAGCTTATGCCTACACCTATGTCTTCTTCCCTGCTTTCAGACATCAGATTAGGAGACTGAACTTCTGTACAGTATAGGAACTATAGGAACTATAGGAAACAAGTGGGAAATTAAAAAGATAAATTATTTAAATTTATAAATAGTCCTTTAGGAGTCCTAGTGATAAAATCTTATTTGAATATAGAAAGTGAAATGAATTCTTTGGGCCACTATACATTGAAGGAAGTTTGGTATCCTTCCAACCTTATTGTATCACTTTATTTTGAATCATGAAAGCATGCAATATCTATTTCCATTATCCTCCTCTTATTTCCAAACCATTGGTATATAATTCAAAAGAACATAAGCATCCAGAAAAACCAATTAATCTTTCAGAATAAAATTAATATGTGAAATAACTTGATAAAATGGATCCGTTCTAGCAGAAAACCACATCATACAAACTGACATTGAATTTGCACATCCCATTTCTAACAATTAGCTGATCCCCCCCCCAATGTCTTCCTTAAGGGTACCCTGGTGCCCAGTAGACCCCAAATAATGCTATCGTTACTGTTGTTGAAATAACCACAAATGTGTATCCCCCTTTTTAAGATTAATTGCATGAAAACAGTTCCTTCCATTTGAGGGTATGAAGATGAGGTACTATGATTCTGTTACTTTGGCCCCATGGCCAATGCCTATACATTGAATATGGACTCTGAGTAAGAGTCGGCTAAACAGAGAGACTTACAAATTAGCTGGAGATCTGCATGATTGGATGTTCTACTCTGGCCTTTGCAATAATAATGAGAAATTGATGAAAAACAACAGATAATCTAGAGACACCTTAATATTAACTAATATGATTACATTTACTGCCTTTATGGATCACAATCCATTCATCAGTATTGCCTTGAGAGAAGAAAATTAAGTCTCTGTCTCTTTGACTTTGTCTCTCTGACTCTCACACACACTGATGTGTAGGTAGGATGGGGAGAAGAAAAGGGAAATGGTAAAAAGGGAGGGGAGAAACAAAATTGCTTATAGGCAATGACTATTAATTAAACAGTCATTAGATGCTACTGTTGCATCAATCAGCTGGTTAACTTTGTGGTAAGAAACATTAATCTTTGTTTACTCCATGAGAAATGAATATCAGTTCTAACATAGTTGTTTCACAATGAAATACTCTTCAATAATTCCTTTTTTCAAGGATAGTTATCTTGAGGTCACTATCAGAGTGTCTTATGGAGTTGGGATGTGATTGAGGGCACACCAGATTGAGGCAAATAGCGAAGCGATGACTTGGCCATGACGACATCTGAATCATTACATTTTGTCCTCCTGAAGAAAACAAGAAACCTGGGGTTTTGTGGGACAACACTTTTCCATGCTTACAAAGCATGAGAGTTACCTCAGGTTTGTTGTTGTTGTTGTTTTTGTGGGGACAGGGAAATATACTGTAATCCATAGCACTTTTTTTTTAATGATCAACTTTTAAATGAATGAGGCCAAAAAGGTTTGGCCGTCTTATTTCAGGGGATCTCAAGCATGTTCATAAAACAATTAGTAGGAGATCTGATTCTAATCTGATTCAAAACATTCTGTTTTGTCTTTTCTGATTGCTTCTGCAGGGTCCCATATTGAACCAAAACGTGAGTACATTTTTTTTTGGTATTATTTCTGTTTTACCATATGGTAACCTCTGTAACAGAATGCTAGTTCTGAATGCAGAATCCACAGAATGCAATTTTCTGTGGATATACTTTTACAGGGCAAAGCCCTTGAGAAAAAATATCAGTCATTCCCAGAATGTCCAAGACTTACTTTCCTTTTCCTTGTTCCAGCCAACATATCTTCCCCATACAGCTCTTTATCTCCTTTCTTGTAAAGATGAGAAGACAAAGCTGCAGTAGCATTTTCCCCTTCAGTTAGGAGCCATGACAAAATGGCTTCTTAACTCTTTCCTTTCCTTTCCTTTCCTTTCCTTTCCTTTCCTTTCCTTTCCTTTCCTTTCCTTTCCTTTCCTTTCCTTTCCTTT